TCGCTGAAAGGAGAAATCGAACAATCATTGAGGCTGCTTGATCAATACTCAGTGAATCTCATCTTCCCACTCATTTCTGGGTTGAAGCTGTCAACACCGCTTGTTTCACTCAAAACCGGTCATTGATCGTTAAGAGGTTCAAGAAAACAGCTTACGAACTCTTCCATAGTAGAAATTCCTCTCTCAACTTTCTATATATCTTTGGTTGCACGTGTTATATTCTCAACAACCGTGAGCAACTGGGAAAGTTTGATCCCAAAGCTGATGAATGAATCTTTCTGGGATATTCTTCAGTATCTAAAGCCTTCATAGTATTCAACAAACGCCAACAGACAATAGAAGAAACTATTCATGTCACTTTTGACGAATCTCAATCACCTAATTCTAAACTCATCATTAATGATGACAAATAATTAGAAAACTGGATGTTCTCTCATTGTGGACAACCTGAAGCTTTCTTCAGCAATCCACCCAAGCTGATTCTCCAAAAGCTTATGATGATCTACTTATCATTCCAGTTGCAGCTAATAACCAAAACGAGTCTTCTTTAGAGTTAGTTGCAGTGCCTATTAGTTGCATTCCTCTTTTTACTTTAAACATTGATCAATCAGTTAATGAAATGCCCTCAGCATTTGAACCTCTATTAGTCGCTGAATTTGAGGCCCTTTAGCAATTGTTCCTACTGCTGAAGTATCTGCAGCTGAAGCCTCATCTTCTGTTCTTGAACATCTATGCTCAGATGATAATCATCTACCAGCTCAGCGATGGACAAAATACCATCCTATTCATCAAATTCTTGGTGATCCAAGTGCAGGTATTCAGACTCGTCGAGGTCTAGGTAATATCTATCTCTTTGTCAACTTCCTTTCCTTAGTTGAACCTAAGAAAATCAATGATATCTCATACCCTAGTTGGGTCATTGTCATGCAAGAGGAGCTCAATGAGTTTGATAGGAACAAAATTTGGTACCTTGTCCCACGTTCATCTGACAAAACTGTGATAAGCACTAAACAGGTTTATCGCAACAAGTTAGATGAACAAGGTGTGGTAACCCGTAAAAAGGCTCGTTTTATTGCTCAGGGTTATAAACAAGAAGAAGGAATTGATTATGATGAAACCTTCGCACCAGTGGCTAGACTTGAAGCTATTCGACTCTTCCTAGTCTTTGCTGTCCATAGAGACTCCAAAGTCTACCAAATGGATGTAAGAGTGCTCTCTTAAATGGAAAACTCCAAGAGGAAGTTTATGTTGAACAACCTCTAGAGTTTCTTAAACCTAAGTATCCAAACCATGTCTATCGTTTGGATAAAGCTCTTTACGGGTTAAATCAGGCTCCTCATGCCTGGTATGATACCCTCTCCTCATTTTTCATCTATGAGAAATTTGTCCGTGTAAAGATTGACCAGACCTTATTTCTTAGGAAAGTTAAAGGTCATATCATTGTAGTCCAAATATATGCTGATGATATTATTTTTGGTTCCACTAATCCCTCTTAATGTTTTCGGTTCGCTGATCGCATGAAGAAAGAATACCAGATGAGTATGATGGGAGAACTAACCTTCTTTTTAGGTCTCCAGATCAAGCAATCCGATAAAGGTATCTTTATCAGTCAGAGTAAGTATGTCCGTGATATGCAGAAAAAGTTTGATCTCTCTAACAGCCCATCTATGAGAACTCTTATGCTCCTCATCTTTCTCTCAACAAGGATCCAAATGGAAAGCCTATAAATGTAAGTGTTTATAGAGGAATGATCGGCTTCCTGCTGTATCTTACAGCTAGTCGGCCAAATATCATGTATTCTACTTGTTTATGTGCACGATATCAATCTGAATCTAAGGAATCCCATCTGATTGCTGTAAAACGCATTTTCAGATACCTGAAGGGAACTTCTAACTTGGGTCTTTGGTATCCTAAGGGTTCAGGTTTGACCTAATAGGTTACTCGGATAGTGATTTTGCAGGTTGCGAAATTGATAGAAAAAACACCATTGGAGGTTGTCAACTTCTAGGTGGAAAGTTGGTGAGCTGGATGAGTAAAAAGCAAAAGTCAGTGTCCACATCAACCGGTGAAGCTGAATACGTTACCGCTGGAAATTGTTGTGCCCAAATCCTTTGGATGAAAAACCAGCTTAACGACTACGATCTTCAGTTTTCAAAGATTCCTATCTATTGTGATAGCACTAGTGCTATTGCAATTGCAAACAACCCTGTTCTTCACTCCAAAACAAAACATATTGAGATCAGATATCTCTCTATCAGAGATTATGTTATGAATGGTAATATTGAACTTTACTTTATTCCCATTGATTACCAATTCGCTGACCTTTTCATGAAGCTTCTTGATGAGACAAGATTTAACAAGATTTACCAATTTCTTTCAGTTATATGCATTAATCAATAAGTGAAATGATTCAGTGTTCTTATTCTGTCATTGAACTCTTGAGTAAATATATCTCTTTTCTCTAAGGTATGTATACTTGCTCTTCTTCTTTAAAACTTAAAACTAGCACTGAAGCTTTTCTTCTTCAGTGATCAAAATGTTTTAAAAGTTTGTTTCAGTGATTCTATCTATCGCTGAACATTTTAAGGAAGTATATCTCTCTACTATATTTTTTTTTCTTAAAATCAAAATGATCACTGAACCTTTCTTCATTCAGTGATTCAAAAGTTTTTAAAATATTGTTTCAGTGTTTCTCTTATCACTAAATCTTTTATGGAAATATATCCTTCTAAGATATTTTTTTTTCTTAAAACAAAACCATCATTGAAGATTTTTCTTCTTCAGTGATCAAATGTTTTAAAAGATCTTTTTATTCAGTGATTCTCTTATCACTGAATGTTTTCAAAACCCTTTCATATTCTTAAGAAAGTGGCTCTTGAATTTCTTAAAACCTTTTCGTTTGAAAAGAAATAGAAAATGAACCATTTTTATGACGACATTTTTCTTTTACCAATACGATTTTGTTTTGAGACGCGCGTACCGTTTTGACACGCGACTTCTCAAAATTTCATCTAATCGTGGATGAGAATGTGCTACTTTTTCATCATTGCACATCCTCAATAGTCGTATTTTCCTCTCTCCTCATACCTATAAATATGAGATTTCTCCTCTCATTTTTCCTTACGCTTTCAAAATCTATTGTCGAACCTCTACCAAAAGATTTGCAAGCGAGAACTAAGAACACTCAAAAACCCTTCAACCTTTTCTCCTAAATCTCTAAGGTCGATACTCTTTCTTTTATTTTTGATTTGTTCTTCTTCTTTTATGAAACTGTTGTTTGTTTATTTAAGAATTTGTTCTCTTAAACTACAAACATTAAGATTATTAACACATTCTTCTACTTGGTTATAATCTAAAGTTTCAAAACACTTATTCTTCTTGAAAACCCCTAATATTTTCTTTGTGGATTTTTCAAAAGTAAGTTTTATTGCTCTAAGACTTAAAAACTCACATCGTTATCTTGGAATACTAACAAAACTGTTATTTCTTATTTCTTACCTATAATAGAAAATGGCTGCCAAGAATGTGAACTTTTCCATTGAAGACGTGTTCTTCAAGGCAAACAATCATGTGGCCTTGTTGGACATTCCCGCGAACAAATCCTACTACGAGGAAGCGCTACCTTCCTCAAGAACTCTCCCATTTCCTACGCTCTCACCCATGAACCTGTCATGGTGAAAGAAGCCCTTTATCAGTTCCGGCTAACTGCTGAAGTCGTTCAAGAAACTGACAAGCACGATCAGCAGGTGGAGAAAATGTCCTTCACCTTCAACTGCATGACCGTCAACTTTGGTGTTACAACGCTAAGGCACACCCTTCGCTTCCCCAAGGGTCCCTTCGTCAGTGATCCTTCTACTGAAATCATCATTGCCTGCCTTGATGATATTGGCTACGCCTGGCCAACGAAGAAGGACTCCAGCGAACTCCTCAAGTCGCTGTCAAAGATTGAGAAGAACCATATGTCTGCGGTGTGGCAATACTTGTTTTCCTATTTCATTCAATGTATGGGAGGCAAGACTGGCGGCCAAGATCAAGCCTCCAGGGTTGCGCTCAACATTGGCATTTCTGTCATACGCCAGCACCCGATCAACTTCTCGGCTCTGATCTTCGAAGACCAGACATTGAAGTTGAACAAGCGCCAGAGGGAGAAAGTAGTACCCTACACCAGATTTCTATCCATGGTGTTTGCCAAGATCCTTGGCAAAAAGTACTCCACGGAAGGTAATCTCCCTATCTGCAAGCTTGGATCCAGGATTTTGGATTATAAGCTGAGAAATGAAGATATTGCACTTTCTGCTATTGTGCAATCTATTTCTTCATTTTCTCCAATTGTGCATGTACTTCCTTCTTCTCCTTCTCAGGTGGTCAAGACTAAGTAAAAACCCCTAAAGTCTATCCCAACCACCACCTCCCTTTCTTCCAAACGTCCCTCTTCTCAACCCACTCTTGGTTCTCCATCGAGGGCCAAGAAAGCCAAAAAGGGGATACCCACGTCTCTGGCTGTTACCTCTCAAAAGGTTTCAGCTATTGAAACTAGCCTTACCCCCGAGGCACCTTTAGTTTCATCTCTTCCAATCTCTTCAGTGATTTCTACAATCACTTTCATACCTGTGGCTTCAATCCCGACCTCCTTAGTGACCCAAATCACTGATGGTGTGAATATCAGCATCGCCACTACTGAACACCCACGTCCTTCAGTATCGGCCATTTTCTCTTCTCCTCCATCCTTGGTCTCGACACGTGCTTATGATTCATCAACGATTGTCCTCACTGATGATGAAGCACCCACCATAGGACCTGAGATTGCTCCTCTCGAGGCATCTCAACATATGGTCGCCTATCCTCTCAAAGGAAACCTAGTACGAATTAGCATAAATCCTTCAGATGGTGCTGATGAACCCTCAGATACTCTTCCATCCTCCCCTTTCATTTCTTCTAACCCCGAGCTATCTTATGCTCAAACTTTTTCCTTTTCAGGTCCTTGCGAATAGACGTCAGCCATGGAAGAAGAATACAACATGGCTGACAATGTCAAGCTCATTCTCCCTGCTGTGGAGATTGTCCATATCAAAATGGACGAAGTCCATAAGGGCATGCCTCTTAGGGATGAAGTCTTTGCTGACCTTTCAGCTGTTAAAGCTAAAGTTAAAGAGGTCAAAGAAGAGCTCTCCTCGGTGCAAGCAGCCGTGCGTATCAACATTAAGGCCGTATCTACTTTAACCAGCAAGGTCGATAAAGCGAATGCCCGTTTTGCTAGGCATACTGAGCTGATGCAGTAGATACTGGAGATCCTCCAACAACCAGTACCAGCATCTGCACCGTCCTTCACAGAGATGGATCGTCTGCAGCTAGATCAGACTCTTGAATGCAGTCTTCTTCAAGCTCGAGCACTGACAAAGCTCAAAGAAATGGTGTAGATTTAGACAAGAACTCTTGACAACTTCTTTGAATATCATGTTGATGTCAAAGAGGGGGAGACAGAGTTAAATGTTGATGTTGCTATTGTCCCGACGACTCAAATTGAAACTGAAGCTCCTAGAGCCATAGCTAATGAAGTTGAGATTGTTGATGAAAATCCAACTTCCCATGAAGCTCCTAAAGCTGAGGTTGTTGATCAAATCATCAGAGCTGGTGCTGAAGCTCGTGACGAAGACCTTCCTATCACCTCTGCAGCTGATGCTGGTAATAATGAAGATGATGATAAAGATGATGACGATGAAAACAATGATTCTCCCAACCTTCCTGATGCTGGAAAGGACTTTGGTGATGATGATGATGATGATGATGAAGACGAAGATGATGACAACTTCACCATTCAGTATCAGAAACATGCCAATGCCACGACAGAAGTTTCTCTCAGGTATTCTGCATCCAAGGGAGAGAAAGAGAAGGAGACCTTAGAGAAGAACCACAACACCAAGTCAAAAGGCAAAGGTGTTGCTGAAGAAGGAAACCTCAATGTACTCTTCAAACCCGTTGAGCCATTAAGTACTGAATCCTCCAGGTTTGCCATTGTTACTTCTATTTGTCAACTCTCCTCCATCCCCTCTACAACCTGCGGTCGGCTAGAGGAATGGGTACCTGAAAACCCAACCTCCAACGTTCCCATCGACCAGCAGATGTCTCAGCTAAAGGATTCACTCGACCAAACTAGAGTAAAAATCCCTCTTCGTACCTCTAGTTGTAGTGAGTTTGACTTCCTGTCCGAATCTAAAAGACTTGAGGCACTCAAGGCTGAGGAAGAACTCAGACTTCAACGACAACAGACTGAGGATGACATACAGTTGGCCAAGTCTCTTGCTGCTAAAGTTCTTCCGAAGAAGATGTCTAAAAAGATGGTGAATGTTGTCAAGGCCCAAGCTAAATTGCTTTCTATTGCAGAAGATGAGCATGAAAAGGCGAAGAAGCTGGTCGAGCGAGACAGAAAAGGGAGCGAGGGATGTCTGAACAAGAAAATAAGTCCTCATCCAATTTCAAACATCACAATCAGTGAACGGATGAAAGACGGTGGAGTTCTAGTCTCAATGCTCATCACCAGATACATTCTTGATGCTGTCACGGAGTATCCTTCGTACCTAGGCCAGTATAACTATAGTGAATGGCTGGAGATCCACCAAGCCATTCAGCGCTCAAAGTCAAGGCACAAGCCGATAATTGAATACATCATCAGCGAGCTAATCAAGAAGATGTCAAAATGCGTCGTTGTACCTACAAAGCCAACACTGAAGAAAGGTGGAAGAAGAAGACCTTCAAGTCCTAGTGACAGACCAACCCTAAGGAATGAACATGAAACAAAGTTCTCCTTAGACGAAGTCCTGAAGGATTTGAAGAAGTCAAACATCTAAATGATGAACTTCTCCTTGCCATCGAAGGGTCCTTGCATACCCAACACTCTGCACCTCAAGTCTGAGTTAGGATTTATTTTCCTTGACTATGAAGGCGAACACAGTTTCCAGAGAGTGTCTAAGCTACATCTCTGTCCAATGGAACATCTCGCGTATATTTGATATTGGTTGAACGATGATGATATATATGGTGAAATGATAGACCGCAAGATCAGAAGAGAATTTCTACGTCAAAAGGAGCTTGGAGAAGAAGTACCTTGCTACATCAACTTCAATGACCTAGATTAGTTATGAAATTCTATCTTGTAACTTTGTATTTCACTATATGTCTTTTGTATCTATGTCTTTACTTTCAGTGTACAACTTATACTTTGTAAGTCTAGAAATGTATTGACTGAAACACTTGTAATTTTTTCCTTTGAATGAATATAATTATTTCATTAGCTTCACTGAAAAAGATCCCTGAAAAGAGTAATAGGGACACATGTCTATGAGTTCCAGTATTCTCTTACAGTCACTAACAATCTCTAGTCAGCGAGCATGTTTTTAGTTTCAATTTCCCTTCTTGTACTTTTTCTTAAACTTGTAACTTAAAAAAACTTATTAAGTAAAAACTGATTCACTGAAAAGATCCTAAAATAGTTAAAAGGGACATGCACTTTATATGTAACTTTTCCTTACTATTATTTATTAAGGCAATTTTCTTTATGTTGCTTTGTCATCATCAAATAGGGGAGATTGTTGATCCTCTGTCTCATTGATTTGATGATAATCCCTTTTTACCTATTCGAAGTATTATGTTTCTGTTCTTTCAGTTCCAGCGATCATCACTAAGTCTGTTCAGTTATCGTTGAACCATGTATTATAAATCCTACAGCAACAACGATACTTCAATAAGACAAAACTCACACCAAAGAACCTTCAGTGAATGTCGAAGACTAAAACTGAAAATTAGTGACAGGCGTGTTCGTGATCTGAAGCGATATTTAGTGATTACAACCTGATCAACATAGGTGTGAAGACTGCCTAAGCCTCAGCGAATGCTGAAGAGACCTTTAGTGTTATTCCAACATTCAGTGATCAAAGAAGCTTGTTGTGCAAGATTGTTTTTCTCTTGTCCTTCAACACATAGAGGACAAATCCATACCCTTTCTAGAGTATAGTACAGTACGGAGCCGACTAGTCGACCTTAGTGCCCACCAACTCCAGGAAATGATTTCTGCTCATGAATAGGCAATTGTACTATTCACTGTAGCAAAGAACAATCTTTCCTCCAAAAGCTTGACGCGTGTCCAAACTCTTTTGAATTTCATTTAATGAAATGGGTATAAACAGATGAGTGCTCTCTCCATGCAGAAAAACACATACGCATATACGCATACATCAAAAAAGAACACTTACTCTTATCTTCAAGCAAGTTAGAATCTCTCTCAAGTATTCTAAAAGTTCTTACCTTAGAAGAACATCTTTCTTTCTTTATCTTTCAGCAAATCTTTTCTATTTTGCCATATATTTGTGTGTAAAATTAGATTGTTTTAGATAGGTTATCTTTACCTTGTCTATTTCCGCATACAATCTGCAAAAATTTGTATTGATCTTTCTTTATCAATATTTTTAAACTCAAAAGTGTTATGTGTTTGTATTCACCCCCCCCCCCCCTCTACAAATTATTCGTCTAAAACTCTTGTAGACCCGGCTGGGACCAACATATCTCCACTCTTAAATCGATTCTAATTGAAGAGTTCCACTAGATCAAGACTAATGAGAAGCACCAGATCAATTCCCTTCTAAACCGCAACTAATGGGTTGGTTAAAGAAAAAAGTGATCAAGGGTTTCTTCTTACACTTCTCACCTTAATTTCTATTCTCACATAATCAATTTGTCTCTCTCTCTATATATATATATATATATACATAGAGAGAGAGAGAGAGGATTATGTTTAGGTGAGAAGTGTTAAGAAGGGATTTCCACCCTTGGATGCACATCTATACTATCTTATTAAGCAAATTTAACAAAAGCCTTGAAGTCTTAAAATACTAAATGACCAAGATACCCTTTATACTACCCTTCCATCACTTTTTCACTTTTTCACCCCATCCTCTCCTCATACACATTCACCCTCTCACAACGGATTTTTTTAAAATTATAATTTTAAATTTACACTTTATACC